GTGATCGCCCTGAACCAAGCTAACTGCCAGGACTGGACGATATCAGAGGCATAAAAGGACATCAAGATTAGCTAGCCTGAACTTTTGTGTAGAATGCAGTTTGCAAAGGGCAGCTTGCCATAGGACTGTGCATGCAAACATTTCCTCTGGGTACATTTGTGCTTTCTGTTTCAATTAGCTGGGCTCAGAAAGGTCTGTTAAGAATCTGGACAGCTGCAGGGAGCCATGGCCAAGGCAGACCTCGAGGAGGAGCCTGTAAAAGCAGTTCCATCTTCCTGGGCATCCGGAAGGTGTGCAGCCAGGCCTTGCAGAAGAAGAACATCGGTCGGGAGGGCTTCCTCACCCCATTCCACCCCCATGTTTCTCTGTTTCACCCACGTTCCCTCTGAGCTACAAGCCGTTCCGTAATGGATGAAGGGAGTTAGAGATTTTTTCCAGCAACGATAGTGTAGGAAATTAAAGACCTAGTAGAGGTGGGATATTCGTATTCATCTCCCACGGGAGACAAATACGAAGATCGCCACCACAGGTGACCAGGACTTTTGGACCCACCTCCCCAGAACTTACTGCTCGCCAGGCGCAGGGCTGTTGTCATTCATGCTGTGCCAATCACAGAAGGAGCCCAGCCGGTGCTTCCTTACCTCCCTGGGCTGCCAACCACTCCAGTGAGGAGGTGGGATGATGCGTCTCCCTGCTTAGCTGTTGAGTGGTCAGCAGCCCAGGGAGGCGGGGAAATGCTGGCCAGGCTGCTTCTGAGATTGGCATCGCACGAATGGGGACAGCTGTGCATGCCATGAATTGGCAAGTGGACTAGGTGGTTCTGCGGAGTGGGCCCAAAGCGCCTGACCACCTGGGGTGGTGATATTTGTATCCGTCTCCCCAGGGAGACAAATATGAATATCCCATCTCTACACTCACTGGCGGCTCCTGGTCTGGACTGGGTTTCTGGGGCTGTCTCCCCAGGGAGACAAATATAAAAATCCCATCTCTACACTCACTGGAGGCTCCTGGTCTGGACTGGGTTTCTGGGGCTTATTTTGCAGGGGAGAAAAATAACTAAAACAGGATAGCCCAGTGGTTTAGGCCTCTGGTTGCAGAGCCAGAGGTTGGGAGTTCGATTCCCCACTGTGCCTCCTTGACAGGGGCTGGACTTGATGATCCAGAGGATCCCTTCCAGTTCTGCAATTCTAAGATTGGTTGTTCTGGGTTTTTCGGGCTCTTTGGCCGTGTTCTGAAGGTTTTGCAAAAGGTCAACGAACTCTACCCATCCACAAGGACAGGGGATCACTACACACAAAAGACCAGCTAATGACACCCATCAATCACAGGAACAGATAATCTCTTCCCCTTAGCACAACAATACACCCACAACAATACACACTAATCACCCATCTACAGGAAAAGACAAAAGCCTATCTCACAGCCATAAATACTGCACTCCCAAGACAACTACACCAGAGCACAGAGTGCTGTCCTCTGAAGATGCCGGCCACAGAGACTGGCGAAACGTCAGGAAGAACAACCTTCAGAACACGGCCAAAGAGCCCGAAAAAACCACAACAACCATTAGATCCCGGCCGTGAAAGCCTTCGCAAATAAATTCTAAGATTATTAGGGGAGTGGTAATCAAAGCTTAGGGTTCCCTCTCCACACAAGGATGGATGCCAGGCCATGAAAGAGAGCAGTGGGAAGTTGCATGTTATTTTTCCATGCACCTCTGCTTTTCTCAAGCTTGAGCGGAAAATGTCCTAAGGAGGGTGAGGAGAGGAAGCAGCAATATATACGAAGGGGTGCCTAATTAGCTTTCAAGGCAAAAGTGTGTGTTTGTGTGGGTGTTGTATGTAATAAAGATCTAGGAAGATTTTAAGCGAGATTTGAATGAAAAGTGCGATATTGTATGGAGAGATCGCTGCTGCTGCTCTACCTATAGGACTCTGGAAACTGGAATCCAAATAAGCCAAATTTTCCTTCTCTAGCTGCACATTTGTCCCCAGTACAGTATTTCCAGTGGAAGGCAGAAGTTCTGATCTTGCTGATCCAACCTTTTTCTATAACACATTCTCTCCTGTTTCCTCATTTCTCTCTTTCTTTTTTAAGAGCATGTAATTGTCCACTTGTCTGCTATCTCATCTTTCTGTGGGGATTTCTCATATGGAAACTCTTTGTCTGATTGGCTCTGAGTGAATATTTTTTTCCCTCTAGGTTCTCTCTGTCTCTTCTTTCTTCTCCCAGGTGACAGGCACTTTATTGGGATGGGAGAAGGTGAGACTTTGGTGGTGACCGCTGGGGTCTCCCCCAGAAAAAGAAAAACTGGGCAAACTGGAAGCAATGTGGCAAGCAAGTGCACAGGAAGGAATAAGAGGAGGAGGAGGAGCTATGCAATTCCTATGAAATATTGGTTCAGCCTAAAGGGGTGGGACTAAGAAAGAGCAGGGCTGTTAAGAGATTTGGATCAAAAAGAGTGGGAGAGCTGAAAAAGAAACTGAAGCTGTTGTTGCTACTTAGACTGCTAAGGCCCTTTCCAACTTTGTACTGTATAGGTATACAGTAATTCCTATACGTTTGTATTGGGAAGGGTTGAATCCGCATAATAAATTCATGCATGCCCAATTAATTTATACTTTATTTTAGGGTTTTGAGGACTTTGCATGTGGAGCTGATTCTTCTACATTATGGACACCAAACCTAGTTGAGAAAGAGAGCTTGAATTTTTGTTTGAATGTTGCAGTTCTACAAGCATCTCCTGTATTGTTGCTGAGGACTTAGATGCACAAATTGTAGCATTTTGTTCTTGTTATAATTGCTTGTTTTTTCTGTTCTTTAACTGTGAATACCTTTGCCTATGGGAAACCATTCTGTCTCTCTATGTCCCTAAATCTTGTCCACAATATCAGGACAATCAAGTGCTAAGACAAACAGTTTCTTGCAGGACAACCCATAGCATCTCCTGATTGACACTGTCATAGGCTTTGATTTAATATATAAAGCATAGATTGATTTTCTTCTAGAATTCTTTGGTTTGCTCTAGTAGCCAGTGGATATTTGTAATATTATTTATTTTCAGAATCCATCGTGAACATCAGAAATTTCTCAAACCATATAAGGAAAAAACTTTTGTTGCAACACCATAAGCATCACTTCGCTTGCCTGGGAAACTAGAACAATGGTCCTATAGTTAACACATTCATTGGCAACTCCTTTCCTGGGGATTGGAATATATACTGAATGTTTCTGGTCCATGGGCCATAATTTGGTTTTATTTATTTGATGACATATTCTTGCTAGGATTTTGACAGATTCAGTCTCTTAGGTTTGAAATAGTTCTACTGGTGATTTTTTTCTTCCCAGTATTTCCAAAGCAACTTTCATTTCATTTTCTAAAACTACAGATTCTTCCACAAAGGATTCCTCTCCAAAGGAGTCTGTCATCCTATTGTCTCTTTTGCATAGGTCTTTAGTATATTGTTAACCACATTCTTTTTATTTTATTCTGGTCAGATAATGTGGTTCTCTTCCAGTGTTCCTAATCTAGGTTTAAATTTCCCTTTGATTTCTCAGATCATTGATGAGAGCTTGAGTGTGAATACATCTACAGAGCATCTTGGAGGCATTCTGAGCACCAACAGGTCAATACAGACAGCATTGTTTTCTTCCATATCCTTCAGATCTATTATTGATGGGGTAGTTGGTCTGGAAAAAAAATTCACATGGGCCATTAAAACAAACAAACAAACAAACTAATGTGTGCATTAAAATAATACTGAGCAATTTGTGAAAGTAGAACCAGGTTGCCCCTCCATCACTGTTTTAACTACCAATTCAAAGTGTACATAAGAGAAGAAACAAGAATGGATCACATCACTGTCACTTCTCTCAGGCTTTCCCCCCTCCTTTTTGCAATAATGCAAACTCTGTGTCTTTTACCTACCAAGTAATCTTGCATTTCAAAGCATGCCTATAGCTTGTTACAAAATAAAAATCTGAAAAAAAATTAAAATGGTCTGACAAGGTGTTAATGTATTGATCCCATCAAGTAAAAGGAGGCTAAGGACTTTGGTGACATCTCCCTCAAACCTGGATTGATGTTTTGAAGCCTGGCTTTCCCATCCTTATCTGACCAGCTAACTAGCCATTGCAATGTCATTTGTGGAATAATTATAACAATATGGATTCTACATGCTTTGTCTCGTGGTCTGGACTAATGCCAAAGGTGCATCTCCTGTTTCAGAACTTTGGACAACAACAGGATATAGGTAGTGGATTCTAGGGGTTGAAACAGAGGTTAGAGATAGTTCATAACTGGAAGAGGGGAATTTGAGTGACACAGCACAAGCCTCTCTCCCCTCTGGGATTATGCAGATTTGCTTGTTTAGTCTGGTAATTGCTCTTCGAGATTTAAGCAGGGGATTCTTTGGAAGCCTGACTTCACAGACAGAGCAAGACTGCCTTAGTCCCCTCTCTGCAACATTAACACTTTGGGCTTTGAATACAGGATATCCCTAACATCTGTTCCTGGTCTACCTGGTCTGCTGAATTGTTAGGACGTGTATCTTTGAAGTAAAAGCAAGCACTTGACTAATCACAGAAGGAACCCCTTCTTTTCATCCTATAAAGAGCTGCCAAACCTCATCACCGTTGCACAATTTTCCAATGTGTTTTGTGGAATTGTTCTATACCAGCAGTAGGCTTAAACTATTCTTTCAATTGGTCAGAGATCTTCTTTCTCCTTTCACATTGTTTCTGATGATCCTAAGGTTTTCTGTATTTACTTGTTTGTTCGTTCGTTTCCCTGAAAGTGATGACAATTTTTCAAACTTTGAAATGCAGACTATTTGGGTGGTGAGAAATCTCACATCCTTGAATATACCACAAGACTCTCTTTCCCCCCTATTTTATAATTTAACATATAAAACATGTTCAGTTATCAACAGAGCAGTCCAATCATTATGCAGCTGATTTCAAGTATTAGTTAACTTTTGTCCAATGAGCAAGGTAATGAATAGTTATGAAGTAGTATTTAAAGTAATGCAAGGAACTATAAATATACTCTTTAATCAAGGAATGTTCTGACATTTCTTAAAAAATTGACTTTCAAGTGGCATTTAAGGAGGCATTCTGTCAAGCCTTTTTCAGGGTTTTTTTTTGGGGGGGGGGCAAGTAATGTTCTGACATTTCTTTAAAAATAGACTTTAAAAAGTGGCATTTAAGGAGGCATTCTGGCAAGCCTTTTTCAGGGTGTTTTTTTTTTTGGGTGGGGGTCATTTTCTTATCAGTCCAAAGTAGTAAAGGAAGTATTCTTATATGTTGTCTTACGGTAAATATTTGTGATGTGTGATGTCAGAATCAGCTCCTAGAGACTATTTCTCTGCATTTTATTGGCATGCTGGCAAGGACAACAGGTTAGAAATGCCCAGCTTATCCAATTCCTTGTGCAACAAAGACAAAAATAATGTTAAGCGCAACGCAGCACGCACATACCATTACTCAGGTTTAGTCAGTGGGCCTCACAATTCTCTTAAGTGAAACGGAATCCACACAAGTCTGACATTTGGTGGTTTTTAATTACAAAACACCCCATATCCTCTTTATAGATGAGTTGGGGAGAAGCTTAATAGTGTCAGGCACACTATATATCAAGGAGGGCTGTCTGCCCTTAGTGATGTGCTCATTGAGGAGGAGTTCCAAAGCAGCCTTTATAATTAGGCGGAGTGAGCTATCAGGCGCTCAGTACGCAGCAGAGTCAGCATCTCTCTTACTTTTTCCCTGCGCTGTGTACGCCACACTTCCTGTCCTGGACTCCCCCAAGAAGTTGTGGACGTCTGTGTCACAGAGATTGATGCTCCCTCGCCAGTTCTGTGATATGATTCAACTGCCACTCTCCTCCTCCTCCTCTGTAAAAGGACCAGGAGAGGGCAGTCATCTTTTTTCCTTTCTTGCCTCAGGCAGCAAAATCTCTAGAGCCAGCTTGTCAACTGGCCATCCAGCTGGCTTTTGTAAATCCAGTGATCACACTGTGAGCTTTTAGGCACACTTTTATTATTATTTTCGCTTCGGGGAGCCATAGTCTTGGCCTGGACTCAGGGGAAGAACAGAATGACACCCCCTTAACCCACATGCCAGGTAGGAAAGCTGACTGGAGGGACCTGCTTGGCTCTTCCTCCTTTGTAGTGGAGAGGACAGCATCCATCCTTTCCCAAAGGCCTCCAGGAGGACAGGTTGGGAGCCCTAACTTGGTGGACTGTAACTTCCAAAGTTCCCCCCCCCACGTCCCCATCATGGAGTTGCTGGGCTGGGGGATTCTGGGAGATGTAGTCGAAAGAAATAACAGGCGGGGAGGCCAGTCCGTGAGCAGGACCAGCTTGGTTTCGGCCACTAGAGGACTCTAGTTGTGGGAAGCCGACGCTCTCCCTCCTTCTTCCCTCCGCTGCTGCCTCTTCTTCCTCCTCCTCCTCCTCCTCCTCTCTCGCTCTTTTGAGGTTGGGCTTCCCAGGTTAGGCGGCGATGCTGCTTCCTGTCTCCCCTCCTCCATCTCCGTTGCGACCCCCAAAGCCCGAGCGGACCCCCGGCTCCTGCTGCTGCAGCTGCTGCTGGCCCCGGCTGGAGGGGATCGGGGCCCGGGAAGAACCCTTGGCCCGATTCCCGCTGTGCCAAAGCTGGGGACGTTTCTCCACGCTCGCGGATTTCAGGCCACCAAAGGGGGAAACTCCCCCTTTTTTCTCTCTTTCTCTCCCACCCAAGCCTCCACGGGTGGGTGCCGTGGTCGCTTCCGCACGGATCTGGCCTGGATCGGGTTTACCTTTTAAGATCGCCCTCCCACCCCCCACCGGGAGGAGATCCTCGTAGGGCGGAAGCAAAAAAAAAAGAGAGAGCTCCGCCCCGAAAAAGCATTTATCCTCGGGGAAGGAGAAGAGCTGTAACTTTTCCCTCCAAAGGAAGGGAGGGATCCTGACGCCTGTCCCCTTCACACCCCTCTCCTTTCACGGAGCCTGTCGAAGTAAGCGCGGCCCTCCTCTTTCTCGGCCCTGTCTCGGAGGAAACGGGCTGCCTTTCAAAACAAAAAACCCCCAAAATGCAAAATGATCATGATGATGATGATGATGTTTCGATTTCTTTGAGGTCCTCTCAGCCGGGGGTAGGGGGGTGGGAACCAGAAAGAAATCGCCAAGTTCAGACCCAGCAAGGGCTGCTGTGCCTTAGAAGGATGATGTTACAGAAGGCAAAATTCCTCCGCCTCGGAGGAAACGGGCTGCCTTTTAAAACAAAAAAACCCCAAAATGCAAAATGATCATCATCATGATGACGATGTTTCGATTTCTTTGAGGTCGTCTTTGCCGGGGGGGGGGGAACCAGGAAGAAATCGCCAGGTTCAGACCCAGCAAGGGCTGCTGTGCCTTGGAAGGATGATGTTACAGAAGGCAAAATTCCACCGGGGATGGGTTGTTTCTGCCCCCCCCCCCAATCACAGGAGGTGCAGTAATGGGAAAAGAGCTGCCCTGGGTAGAATTTCCTCTTCTAGACAGCCTTTCTTAAAAGGAGGAGTCCTCCAAGGGTCACAGCAGAAATACTGGCAGCCCCTGGCCTGGAAAAATAATTCAGTGATGATGCGAACAAGACAGGAGAGGGGAGTGAAGGTTAGAATCTGGCAGAGGAGTAAAAAGGGAAGGTGACGGACCTGCGGATGGAGGCACAGAGTTGAGCTTATGGGGGGGGGGACCCCATTTCCTATGGTTCCTCCATATTTCGCAGTTCCAGTGATGGGTGTAAATACTGGACAGCTCAGTGGTTTGGGGAGCCAGAGGTTGAGAGTTCAATTCCCCACTGAGCTTCTTTAACAGGAGCAGGACTCAATAATCCATAGGGTCCCTTCCAGCTCTAAAGTTCTAAGATTATTATTATTTTATTAAATAAATTTCCTTCCTTCCCTGATTCTGCAGTTCAGTGACAAACCCACTGCTTTAAAATCCAATGTTCAAGTTGGATGCAAGGCAGAGAAAAAACACAGAGAAGCTAGTTTTTGGAATATAGCTTCCAAAATATCCCAGCCATTTTTTTTTTAGACTTGCTGTCTAAAAGGAGCAACTTTCTTAAACTCTGAAAATAATCTCTGAAGACTGCAATGCTAAGTACCAGGATGGGAGTGGGAGCCCAGAAGCGTTTTGAAATGTTATTTGAGCAAGGATAGAGTAGAGAGGTCTGTGGAGTAAAGGCAAAGGGGTGGGCATCAGGGCAAATTCTGGAGCTAGGGGCAGAAGCTGGCTTTGGTGGTCATAAGTGGGAGGAAGTTCTCCATCACCTCCATGTGTACCATCTGTGAACCTGATGTCCTTGTTTCTCCGAACAGGTTATGGAACTGCTTCTGTGACCTGGAGGAAACTGTTCAACATCTGCAGAAGACAAACGGGATGCCACCCAAACGATCCAAAGGGAAATCTCCCCAGGTCCCAGGTCAGAAAAAACATCCAAAGGGCCGGAGGAAATCGGAAGATCATCATCAGAGTTTCTTCTTTCTAGAGGGCAAGGGGAAAGGAGGCGGCTCGGATAAAAAGGCCAGGAAACGCAAAGGCACCACTGCTCCGCAGAGAACCTGCTCAGGAGAGAACCCCAATATCTGCACGGAGTGTGGCCAGACCTTTGTGCAGAGCTCAGATCTGATCAATCACCAGAGAATCCATACAGGAGAGAAGCCCTACAAGTGCTCCGACTGCGGGAAAACTTTCAGCGTGAGTTCCAACCTGAGCAGGCACCAGAGAATCCATACCGGCGAGAAGCCGTACCTTTGCTCCGAGTGCGGGAAGAGCTTCACCGACAAGTCGACCTTGGTTCAGCACGTCCGGACCCACACCGGAGAGAAGCCCTACCAGTGCATTGACTGTGGGAAAACATTCAGCCGCAGCTCCCATCACAAACGCCATCTGAAGAGCCCGCCGGGAAAACGGCAAGGCAGATGCAGCCACCTGGAGGGCTCCTCTGCCAACGCCTTGCCTCCTGGCAAATCCAAAAAAGCCAGAGCCTCCAAGAAGCAAAACTCTCCCTTCGAAATCCCTCACACGTGTGCAGAGTGCTGGCAGAGCTTCAACCAGACCTCTGACCTAGTGAAGCACATGCGCATCCATACGGGCGAGAAGCCCTTTGAGTGCAACCACTGTGGGAAATGCTTCAACGTCAGCTCCAACCTGATCAGACACAAAAGGATCCACACGGGGGAGAAACCCTACACCTGTTCTGACTGCGGGAAGAGCTTCACTGACAAATCCACCCTCACGCAGCATAACCGCATCCACACAGGGGAGAAACCCTACACATGCACTTACTGCGGGAAAAGCTTCAGCCGGAGTTCCCACCACAAGAGACATCAGCGGATCCATGCCGGAGAAAACCCTGTCTCTTTTCTGCCCCTGTGGCCTTACCCTAACCAAGTGTACTGAATGGCGTGCATGGGTGTTACTCAGCCGGACTCTGCGGGAGCCTCTCAAACCCCCTCCCACCACTGTGCCTTCACCTCAGGCACTTGCTACATTTTAATGGGTTCCTTGCCTTTTTATGTTCTTGCAGTAGCAAAGATAAAGCATCAAGATTGCTAAAGTGCTGTGATGGAAGAGGGAGGAAAGGTAGATTTTTCCCTCCAGCCCCTAAAGTCGTAAATCCATCTGGAGTCATCAGGCGGATACGAATGGAACTCTCTTGTCTGGGCTTTTCTTACTTCCATTTTACGAGGATTTCTGCCCTACCCAGAGCCATCATTAAACACCCTGTTTAACTGGATGAGATCTAACATGTGCAGGCTATGGACTCAAAACAAAAAAAAAAGAGGAAAGAAAAAGAAAAATTCAGTTAAAAGACATGTTATTGCCCTATAATAAGCCGTACTGCTACTATATGATGTTCTTATGTATAATGGACATTATTGTACTGAGCATGCAATATGGCATCTTCTGTTAGCAAGCATGTTAAAGAACGTATCCCCTCTCTGCTTTCCTTAACGCCTTCTACCAGGACTTAACGTCTGTGCTCTGAGGAAGCATGGGGACATTTCCTGTGAGATCAACAGAGTTTAGGAAGGAATTTGGATCAGAATTCTCATTCATGCTGTCTGGGAGATTACGGGAATAGTAATTTTTAAAAAAATAACTTTTGAAAGGTCTAGAGTGCTCCGCTGGGGTAGCAGTCCTGCCGTAAGGGCAGTAAGAGGCAGAAGCAAACGAACTGCCTCCTACAGAGTCTAGCCAGGTATCATCAGGGCTGAAGGAAAGGACAAGATGCTCATTATTTCCTTCCTTCCTCTCTCTCTCTCTCTCTCTTCCTTCCTTCCTTCCTTCCTTTCTTGCCTTTCCAAATTGACCATTTCGGTCAGAGAATAATAGAGTTGGAAGGGGCCTGTAAGGCCACTGAGCCCAACCACCTTTTGTCCCATTGGAAGGAACAGAAAATAAATTATGTACCTTTGCATCAAGGGTGGTTTTCACCTCTTCTCCAGCAGTGAGGATGTATCTGGGAGCGTTCTTTCATCCATTTTTCTATTACTCCAGGTACAGTTTCAGACATTTGGTGTTTCTGCTTGGCTGAGGAGCCAGTGGGGTGAAGCTACTGCTTTTGGGATTATGACTGCATGTCTCTAAAAGTCTGAATCTCCCCTAAATGTAACAATATATAGGAGTTTAATCAGAAGCTTCCAAAAAAAGTAACCACAGGGATACCTAAGTTGTGGACAAGTGTTCATTATGATATTTTTGGATCCACCAAGATTCATCTCCCAAGCAGCCTCCTTTTTTGCTTCTGCCAACAGCTGGGCTGACATCTGACAGGCACACCTAAAAACACAGTTGCCCTGTGTCAGTTGCCTTGAGAGGCTTCTAGCTAGGAATGAAGGACCATGGTCTCATAATCCTGCTGCCATTCATTTCACACAGATCTGAAGGCTTACAATGTGTTCTGGGCATTTCTCATAGTCGTTCTGCCCTTTGATTCCTCCGCAGAAACTTACATTAATTAATTAATTTTGCATCTCTGGGGGGTAGAAGTGGACAGTTGTTTCTAACACAGTTCGAGAGAGGTTCTCCCCCATGCTTTACATAAGAGATGGAGAAGATTTTGGCCCTGCAGATGTTTTGAACCACAAATCCCATGATCACTTACCATTGGACATGGTGGCTGGGACTTCTGGAAGTAGAAATCCAAACATTAGTAGGGTCAAAGTATTTCCCAACTACGGCTGTAGCTGCACATATTTCTTTTTGTCCCAGTGCAATGATCTTATCCCGTTTCTTTTGTCATTTAAACTGGTCTAGAAGAAACAGTCTAGTCAGAACTCTGTGATGAAAGGTAAACAGTGGCATGAGTTTATTCCGAATGACTCGTAGGCATGTGCTGTCAAGGTGCGTGTGTGGGGGTACTGGACTCCAAATCCCAGAATTCTCCATTCTGGGAGTTCCACCTGCCAGAGAGACACCTAAGTTGGCCTCATGTGAAGGAAGGCTGGAGTAGACAGGCTTCATGGCCGTGGACAGGCCGACCTCGGGCCTAGTTTCCTGCTGGAAAAGGAAGGTGACCTTGGTGCTTTATGGGAACTATGGTGGCAGATGCCTCAAAAGCAGCTAGTCTCAAAATATGAATTATTTCTGTGTATTACAAATCTCTTTCTTTCCTTCAAGGCCAGCCAAGTCAGTTGGCTTTGGGAACATGAGAATTGTCTTGCCAGTCAGATCAGTTGGCCACTAGGCCTTCTTTTCTGCTTCTGAGACTGAGCAGTAGCTGGCATCTCCAGCGATGTACCAATGTATAGCCTCCAAGGTGCTTACAGGAGGCAGAGAGAACTGCTTGGTGTCTATAAAAGGGTAGCCTTGTGGCATTTATTGTGATGTATCAATATATAGCCTCCAAGGTGCTTATGGGAGGCAGAGAGAAGTGCTTGGTGTCTATAAAAGGGGAACCTTGTGGCATATTTATTTATTTATTTATTTGATTGATTGATTGATTGATTGATAGATACCCCGCCCATCTGGCCTAAAAGGCCACTCTGGCATAGTGGTTAAACTACAATACTGCAGTCAAGACTCTGCTCATGACGTGAGTTTGACCCTGACAGGCTCAGACAGCCGGCTTAAGGTTGATTCAGCCTTCCATCCTGAGGTTGGTAAAATGAATACCTAGTTCATTGGGGTTACAGGGCAGTGTCTAGCCTACATAATTAAATTGTGCTATGAGACGGTACATAGGCAACACACTTCTCATGAGCTGGCAAACATTTTCTCAAAACAATGGGGTCTGTGAGGAGTCTAGTCCCAGTACAGGAAATATGGTAATTGAACCTCTGATCTGTTTCCCAGAGCCCCAGTTATCCACGATTGCTAATGGAAGATGGGGTTTTCTCCCATAAGGTTAGGTGTGATACATGGCAACTAAGTTTGGGGAAGAATTGCAGCTGGGAAGACGTATGCATATTCTCTCAGCCTGTTACTAAACTTGGAAAAATTACTTCTAGAACTAAAATTCCCAGAATCCACTGGCTGGCAAAGGCACTGGAGGATTCTGGGAAATGTATTCCTAAAAAGTAAACTGCTCAAATTTCTATTACAGCTGAGAGAGGCTTTCCCTGATGGGATACTGAACCTTTGTTCACTGACAGAATGAATGGAGCCACTGCTGCCACAGCTTTCAAATATACAAGAAATGCTTTCAGCTCAAACTGACTGATCTCACTGACAGCTGATTCCTGTTATACCTTGAGGAGTCTTCCTCAGTGCAGTGGCTTAGCTGTATATGTGGGTAATGGGGAAATTTTGTGCTGCAGCTTTGTAACATATGAAAGCAGTTCACCGTGGGGCCATATGAAGAGTATCCTGCCCTTCCCCATACAGTCCCTGCCTGGCACTGATGAAGAGAAACAAGCTTATGTTACCATCAACAAACAAATTGACATGATATGGGACAATATGCAGTAAACCAATGTCAATATTTCTTCAGTGACAGGCATATGCCTTGTAGAGGTTTCTTTTTTCTGTGCTTGGACAATTGTGGCCACAAACTTATATCCTCAAAGGATCCTTTTGAAAAAGTTCATTTTTTTGGACTACAACTACCAGAATCCCCCGGTCAGCATGACTAGGGCAGGTGGAAAATTCTGAGTTGTTGCCCCAAAAAAGGGGAAAATTTTCATGTTCCAAATCCAGAACTCCCACTTCAGCCAGTCTAACCTCCAGCATCATAGGCCATGAGTTTTCAAACTTTTCAGCTCCAGGGTTCCCTTACCCCAATAATTTTAAGGCTCACTTCATTTTTAACTGTGCCTATGCACTGGTTCTCTATAAAATCCCATATTGCTGCTATAAAAAGGCTATGCCGAAGAAACACAAATTCTGTCTGGTTCTATCCAGCTGGTAATGTTTCAAGTACAGACTCAAGCAGCTGGCCAAGTGTCTGGCATCTAAGGAGCATCCTAGATAAGCAGAGGAAGGCTCACCGTCAGAAGGCTGACCAGCAGGCGATGAACTGGCCACAAGCTACAGGCACAAAGATGGAATGGAAGAATTGAGAGATGCATCGCCAGATATACTAGCCGCACAGATCTTCAAAGTAGTTATACAGTGGCTCTTCTGCTGCTGCTGCTGCTGCTGTAAGCAGCATGTAGCGCAGAAGTCCCCAATCTCTGTTCCATGGCCCGGTGCCGGTCCGTGGCTTTGGCAGGACCAGGCCGTGGAAACAGATCTCACACGCCCCCCCACATGCACTCCCCCCATGTGCCCCCAGCTGCATGCACGGCCCAGCCACCTGCACGCACGGGGGCCCTGCTCACCCATGCGTGTGCAAAAGCACCCCCACCCACACATGTGAGCATGCCCTGGCCCCCACGCATGCGTGAGCGTGCAACCCATCCCCACCCGTGCACAGACCCCAAACCCCCAACTGGTCCATGGTTCGGAAAAGGTTGGGAACCACTGGTGTAGTGGATAGAATGTCTCACCCAGGAGACTTGGATTAAAATCGTTGTTCAGCTATGGAAGTTGATTGGGCATTGCAATGGCAAATCACTCCTTGATCATCTCACATACTAAAAAATCCGTATTAGGGTTATCATAATTTGGAAGCAACTTGATGACACCAAACAACATGTGGCATTTTTGGTCAGGTTGGGATACAGTTGTTTTGGGCCAGGCAACTCAACGCTCACGTATAGCCCCCCCTTCCCCCATTACTGTGCCACTTTAATTTCACTGTTGTTGCTGCTACACAAGCTACCATCCAGCATGCTACACAGGGAGCATCAGAAATCAACTAGTGCTTCCAGGTGTCTCTTGGAGCCCAGGTCCCTCTTGTTAAAGGTTTGGTGTCACAGTATAAACATCATTTCCCCCAGACATGCCTTGGTGACCAATGGACACACCTGGCTGTATAAAGAGTGCTTTCCCTTTGCCTTTTTCTATAAATAATACTGTTGCTTGCGTAGGCATTGTTATAGAGGCAAAGTTCAGCCTTTCCCCAACAAGGAAATAAAAAGTGCCCGTCTGTTCCTCCAAGATCTCTCCAAGAAATGTGCCCCTTTTTGACTTCAAGAGGAGAAATCTAGCCAGAAATCTGGTCACCATCAGCTCACAAAAAGGTAACTCAGGTGCCCTCCTCATCTGTTTGGGTCTTTTACAAAGAACATGAGACAAACGATTGTGGCTGTGATTGGTTATGTGGGTATTACTGTAACAGGAAAGCTTTGTAAACGGGCAGCCCAGGAGAGTTCGCACACAGAAGCTCCTCTGAGGTGTACCCTGGGTAGTGAGATTTCTCAGGGCACCAAGAATAACCATCCAGTTCTTTTATTCTCTGGATATGAGGGTTCCAGTTCATATATGTGTGTAAATGAAAGATGGGGTGGGGGAGAATGGCAAGACAAATAGCCACTGAGCGACACTGGAGCTTGTAAAACTAGTGGTGCTGGCAGGAGGGTGAGTTATTTTTTAATTTTTCTTTTTTGTACTTTAGTAAAGAAAAGTGGATATTTTTAAATGCAGGTAAATGTACTAGACCAGTGGTTCTCAACCTTTCGGCCTCCAGATATTTTGGATATCAGCAGAACATTCACCATGTGGCTAGAGATTCTGGAGCTGTCTTTTTTAGAACATCTGGAGGGCTAAAGGTAGAGAGCCACTCCATTCACCTAACTGCTGGCTCCTCAATATACATAGACAGAGCCCTCTTCCAAATCCTGGGAAAGTTGCTATGTAGGATGACAACTCTAAGAACCTCCCACGGCCATTGTGACTGGGAGATTTTGGGAGAAGCAACGTATCCAGTAGCATTGCTTTGTTTCTTAAGAAAAGAGGGTGCTAAAGTCACATCCTCAGTAGGCAGACATTCATACAAATATAGGGAAGAGACCTCCCCACTCCAGGATTTGTTTTTTAAGGGGGAAGA